TTATTTTATTGAAAATCCCCATATTTACGTATAAAACATCCAAGAGATGGCGCTGTGGAATGGGCATGAATGGGGCGTCAACGACGTGACCCGTTACTGCGTGTAGGTGTTTCGCGAGACTGTTTGCTTTTCGTATATAATGAAATGCCCGGCCGATGCATTTCGCATCGAACAAGAACATTTTCTGCATTTTCACTCGCTGTCGGAAGTGAACGAGTGCGTCATTCATTGAACAATTCAATAAAACACACACAATGTTCGAAGCACGGAGCTAATGTTTACATAAACGAAGAAGGCGGGGCTTATTCTTATTACGGAGATGCCAAAATGCAACAAAAGTACGTAGCGTAGTGCGCTAAACGGCGTGTTATTTTCGTTTTTGTGCCAAACTCTATCGTAGGAAACCGTTCTAGCTAGCCTAGCAGAATGCCCTAGTTCCTTAGATCGGCGATTCCATGCTCGAATAGTATTGTACCTAAAAGTTAGAAGATAAGGGGGCGGCGTAGACTGTGATTGGAAGACACAAAGTGTCAATCCTCGGCGAGCCTCGGTATCATGGCCGCATAACGTCCAGTAGGCAGCTGTTTGAGTGGGGGGGGGGTGATTTCTCTTGCACGTGCAGCATACTCTACATAAAATAGCACCGAGGCAACATGTAAACAGAATTCACCAAGCCCGGCTTTACAATTACAGTGTGCTGACATGATGCCGGTCCCATATTCTCTCATCATGACCCATGCACGGATAGAGAGATGGTATAATCAGAGAAGGGGAGTGCATAACACGTGCTCAGATAACGTAGATGGGACTACCAAAAACCCACGATGGTAAACCAGCTTGCAAAACCGGGCCTGCGCAATCTCATCGAACTAGCAATTAACACAACCACAGCTGATAAACCTGTCTGCAAAATCGGGATCCACTTACTGCTAATATCTATTGCAATAATAACACTATAGCCAATGTAAATTCGGTTGATTGTGCTCGGCAGATTACACGCAACACGTGTTCGCTCTTTTTGGAACCGAGATGGCCGACGGCACAGGATTGTAGGTAATATTGCTATTTTTAGTGCAAATCGCGGAACCCTCTATAGTAGTAAGCAGATCTTGTGGAATATAGTGTCTAAGTTTAGATATAATACCTGTTTATCTTGCAATTTTTGTCGAAATATAGATAATGATTCTTCCATGTAGTCCAGTCAATATATGAAAATTATTGGCCTATACCTGGAACAAATTGCAACAGTAGGTTTTATTGTTGGATGTTGTTGATTGGACCATCCTAAACTTCATATGCAAAATCGGCCAAAATCGGACCACGGGAAACTGGCTAATTAGCATAAATCCAAAATGGCCGCCATTTTCAAGTTTGAGGCTAGTTTGCCCTAGATAGTACAGGACCTAAGAGCCAAAAATCAGATGAATTAATTTTGCACTTTTTGACAAAAGCATGAAAATTGGCACAACGGTAGTTTGAGATATGTACATTCCTATGAGATTGGGTACCCATCTCCATCGGCATGGTATCTGGACGCCATCTTGAATTTAAAACTGGTTACCATCAAAATCCATTATCTTATATTTTTCCGCTAATATTTAACATAGAAACAAGATTTTTGTATCTAAACCAACATTATCGAGGTCAAGAAACCCATTACAATCAAAATTATTATCGGTCGGTAGTCGCCATTTTGAATTTCAAAATGGCCGCTACCCAAATCTATTATCTTTCATATTTCAGCTAATATTCGACATAGAAACAAGATTTTGGTATCTAAACCAACATTATCGGGGTCAAGAAACTCATTACAATCGAAACCATTATCAGTCGGTGGCCGCCATCTTGAATTTCAAAATGGCCACCATCCAAATCTATTATCTTTCATATTTCAGCTAATATTCAACATAGAAACATGATCTTAATTGGTATCTAAACCAACATTATCGGGGTCAAGAAACTAATTACAATCGAAACCATTAACGGTCGGTGGCCGCCATCTTGAATTTCAAAATGGGCGCCATTCAAATCCATTATCATTTGATATTTAATAATGCAGCAATTTAACCGTAAAAAGTAAGCAGAATTACTTGCATTTTGTGAAAAAAGTGGACATATTCGTTTTACTTTTACTATTTACAGTGATGTAATTACTTATAAGACGTCTTCACAACGGCGTGTATACAAAATTATTACAAATGCATACACAAAAACACAAATATACAATATACATAACAATATACAAATATACATATATACAAAGAAATACAAAGAATCAATCTAGCCTGTATAAACTATTTATACCAGTCTGCATCAGTCATAAGCAAGGTAACACACTATAGTTCTAATCACAAGTCAAGGTCCTCCGGGTCCGCAGCATCACAATCAACCGAAATATGTTTACAGATTCCATCCTGACATTTACTACATGCAATGGTACATTCTAATCCGTGCTTCTTGCAGGTACATCTATTAAGGTCACATTGTCCTTTACGTTGGCACCTGATAACTTTAAGGAGAGATTCTGGAGCTGGTGGGCCATCTATAGTAACAGGTTCAAGGCTACCGCTCTGTGACTGCCAACCCCAATCTTCCGGATTCAGATCCGTACCCTTCCCTATCCAAACTTGAACCTGGTAATAAACTCTGTAAGAGTGATACTTTGCAGAATCTGATGTTGGTGGAAGGGTTTGGACATCCACACTTATGATACTTTTTATAACATTTTCACTAAACTTCCTCTTGCGCAGGGAATCCAAGGTGTCCGTAGTTGACCCTCCATAAAGAGAAATCAATGCTTTTTGCTAGCTTTCAGAATTTTGTTGGCAGTCATATTCAAAGAAAACACTTGTGATTGCTTCATGAACAGCTCATCTTTCTGTGCTTTCTTTAGGGTAGCACATTTCCTAATTCCAAACAGACGGGAGGTAGTGTCACATCCAGAAATGGCATGTATGAAAGGTAGAGCACAGCAAGCCTCATCACCAAGCCTTTTTCATAGCAAATGAATGTCCCAAATAGAATACTTTGCTGTCGGGGTTCCTTACCTAAAATATAGACCCATTGAACATGGTGGATCTGCATGATGACAAAGTAATATTAGAATGTCAGTGTCCTCTCCAATGACATGTGTAATCCCAGCTGTGGCATGGTCAATGGCTGTCTTTGCTATGAGTAAATCGGCGTCGGCATCTGCCTGGAGGTTCTGATTCCATTTGCATGCATTTTTTTACTGAGATGTTTAATGAAATCTTGTTTATTCTCTGAATTTGTGAGGAACCACCGGTTGTCGTCAATGATCGCATTAGCACCTGCTCTACTACTTGATCTGGTGGTAGTCCTGCCCAGAACCGATCAGTCTTGCGGACAACAAATAGTCCTTAATCATATTTGTTGAATAAATCTGGTTTTGTGTGCTTGAGATCCAACATATCTTGTATGTAGATATACACAGATTTCGCGTAGTTGGAATGTCTAGTTGCGGCATAGAATGGAAGCATCTTCTGGGGGGTACTTAGGTAGAGCATGAAGTGTTCTGTGCGAAGGGCTTTGAGTAATAACCGCAGGAGATCAACCATGTTCATATATTGGACTCACAATTTGCCTGTTAGACTTTGCTTGATCTTGTGCTTTTCTGCCTCCATCTGTTAAGCTACTTGTGTTAAGCTCTCATCAGCAGGGTCAGTGGTTTTCTCATCAAGAGTTTCAAGGAGAGTGTCAAACGTCTCAAGAGCCTTCTTTAAGTCAGGGATTTTGTTTATCTCTGATTTATCAGCAGAAAAAGAGATGTCATATGCTTTTTGGAGCACAAGGGCATTGAGAGAAGCATCTACCAGAAGATGGCCACGTATTTCTCGTGCATATGTTTTTTTGTTAAAATGTGGTTCACTGTATTTTTCGCATAAACAATGTCCACCACATCTGTTAGCTCAGATGATTTCATCACATGTCCGATTCTGCCAAGGAAACTCATGATAGAGTGAAATCCGCTCAAATGCAGCTCTATTCTCTTGAGGTCACTTCCTTCATTCTCCCTTGTTATGATATGGTCTTGGCCTTCCACCACAGTGGTTGATCAAAGGTGATGACAGGCACAGTTCAATGTCGTTTATTCTCCTCAGCAACGAAGTGAAGAGTGGAAAAGATGCAACTCAAATCAGATGGGTCCATATCTATCATTGGAAGGAAATGGATAGAAGCCTTTCCAGTATAAACCCCATCTGTCTGCATCATACCCGACCAAACCGGCCGATTTGATCTCAATGGCCAATATATTTCCCGCAGTGTGTCTAGTTTCTGGCGTTCATCAATTGCACTGATGATTGGTAATTTTCTATACAGTAACTGAACATCTGTAATAGCATATTCTCTGTAGTACTTGACCACAAATTTTGCATCAGGTAAACCACTCTCTGGCAAATTTATTCTTGGTACAGTATGTTTTTGTTCGAGTCCTGGGGTTGAAGCAAGAATTATGCTCATTCCTTGGAAGGTACCTCGGCCGTTCAAAGTACGTATGTTGTGATCAACATTGTCAGCAATATAATGAGTGAAGTGTCCAGCAGTCGGTATAGCCGTTTCATTGAAATTCGCATGTAATGACGTCATATCTAGGTTATGACGTCATGGTTACGAATTTGAATGGCGGCCATTTTAAAATTCAAGATGGCGGCCACCGACCGATAATGGTTTCGATTGTAATGGGTTTCCTGACCCCGATAATGTTGGTTTAGATACAAAAATCTTGTTTCTATGTTGAATATTAGCTGAAAAATGTAAGATACTGGATTTTGATGGTGGCCATTTTTAAATTCAAGATGGCGCCTAGATACCATGCCGATCGAGATGGGTACCCGAGCTCATATGAATGTACATATCTTAAACTACCGTTATGCCAATTTTCATGCTTTTGTCAAAAGTGCACAATTAATTCATCTGATTTTTGGCTCTTAGCTCCTGTACTATCTAGGACGAACTAGCCTCAAACTTGAAACTGGCGGCCATTTTAGATTTATGCTAATTAGCCAGTTTCCCGTGGTCCGATTTTGGCCGATTTTGCATATGAAGTTTAGGAGGGTCTAATCAACAACTTCCAACAATAAAACCTACTGTTGCAATTTGTTCCGGGTATTTCATATATGTGACCCGCTCCAGCAAAACCAGGATTAAGTAGGAAATTCTACAAATTGAGTTATGTGCATATCTGAATAGATCATTTAATTACCTTTAAAATGATATTTAGTGCATGACGTGATAAATCGCTGCAATCTCATTGGATAACGCAGCAGGCACTATGAAGCGATAGTGCCCGCCAGAGCGGGCACTATCGCTTGCGCGACGCATTGTTATTATAACGCATTGTGTTTACGTCACGAATCTCCTGCGTCTGGGCGCCACACAAGAGTAATTTCGAACGGCGGTTGTGTTTGTGTCGAACGTTTTGTTACATCGAATGCACCGGCAAATTAGGGAGCATAAAGAAGGTATATACGCATGAAAAGTAGATTGCATAGTCATGTGATGCACTAAAAACATTAATGCCTGCTGTTGGGGGCACTATGCTCTCATAGTGTTGCTTTGGGAAGGAATAGTGTTGCTTTGGGAAGGAATAGTGCCCTCGCTACCGCTCGGGCACTATTCCTTCCCTCAGCAACACTATGAGAGCATAGTGCCCCCAACAGCAGGCATTAATATATAAATAAAATTTGGCTATATCTAAAGAATTGACCGATCTACAGCAATTTGGAGATCGGAAACCGACTTATTCCGGAATATGCAGATTTTGAGATAAAGCGTTCCGGGTAAGGGGCCCAGTCGGGGATAAGCGGTCAGGGGCCTTCAGGCACACTTTTTTCTTTTCTTTTTTTAATTAAAAATAACCATAATAATCTAGAGATATCTGAACTTATATTTCCGGATTAAATATGCACTTAGGAACTTATTTTTGTAAAAATTTCATTTTTGTTCAGGTAGGCCATTTTCAGCATTGACATGTGTTCGTGCTCAAAACAATGACTTGCGACTTAGTCCGTATTATGCTGGAGCGGGTCACATATTGACTGGACTAATGTAAGATAGTGGATGTAGAAGGAAGATGGTGGTTTCCCATTTTCACGCTAAAGTTGTTGTTCTGTTTCTTTGTTAGAAATAATCATGAACTTAGTTTTCTGATAGTTGACTGATAGGATATTTGCTGACATCCACGTGTCAATTTTTTTAATTTCGGTATTTACTAAGTGTTGAAGATCACCGATGTTTTTATTTGTCATAAATAGGTTAGTATCATCAGCAAAAAGTCTGGTGTTACAATTGGTAGCATTGGGGAGATCGTTAACATAAATAAGAAAGAGTAGTGGACCTAGGGTAGATCCTTGAGGGACACCACAGGTCGTCTCAGCCAAGTTTAATTTGTATGAATTTATAGATGTATAGTGATAACGATTAGTTAAGTATGATCGAAAAAAATCTAAAGCCAGACCTCTGATACCATAATGTTCCAGTTTTGTGAGTAATATATTGTGGTTAACTGTATCGAAAGCTTTGGAAAAGTCCAGAAAAATGCAGCAAGTATGCAGTCGAGAGTCTAATGCATTAACCAAGTTATCAAAGATTTCAGCTGTAGCTAGTGCAGTAGAGTAGTTTTCCGAAACCCAAATTGATACTTACTAAGAACATTATTTTGATTTAAAAATGTAGTGAGGCGAACTAATAGACGTTATAACCAGACAATGAAGAGAAGAAAGCGTCGTTTCTATAAAACTTTTTTCAACGTCTTGGTGAGCACCAGTACAGTGTGAAAATACTTACACCCTGCATAGAATAAATATATCAACAAACGTAATTTACACGAAACTCATACCTATGACGGTATCAAAAATTCTATGTTGAAGATAATATTTCATATCACATTTCTCAGCTGCTTCCGTATTAAAAGAGTGGCGAGTATTTAAATAACAAATACATAATAGACTGTTGTGCAAACGTTCGGTATCGAAATACGTGATACCGAACGTTTGCATCAGCAGGAGCTGCGCCAAATATCAGCATTTCCATACGTATGACTAGTTTCGTTTGACGCACATGAAATTGACTATTACGATTATCCACTTCCTGAAAGTGCGATATGCTCTGCCCTTTTTTTAAATAATAAAAGTTTGGTAGCGAGAAGAATGACGCGAGTTTTCGAGTTTCAGCCCCGTTTTGCCAAGCAGTATACGGCACGCTACACCAAGGTCTCTGACGTCGGAGCCGCTGCGGCAGAAGCGACGAGAAGCAGCTGCAGCGCTTGCCGTCAGGACGTCTTTATCTCTCGCGTCTCGTTGTTGTTGCCGCACTTCGGCGGTATCGCTACGCGGGCGCTCCCGTTCGTCGGTTTCCATAGCAACATTTGAGCGTTGTTGGCGCTGGGCGCCCGCAGCGCGCACGGCGGCACGTGCACGTTAGCGCATAGCACCGTCGGCTGCTCCTGCTCGGGATCGGAGACGAGCGTCGACCGCTGGCCGAGCAGCTTCTTCGGATCGACTTTGATCTCGAGCCGCATCCGCCACTGGATCGTCTTCAGCACGATGATCTGCCCGGTGACGTTGCTCATGGCGACCAGCCACGTGTTGAAGCTCTGGTCGCGCTGTATGCGCGTCAGCTTCGGCACGTGACGGTTGCTGAGCGGCACGTCCCACGTGACGCACGGGTAGAAATTGTCGTTCATCGCCACGTGGCCGACGGTCCATTTGCTTCGCGGGCCCTGCACAGTGAAGATCTCCGTCGTCGCTCCGTACCACGGGTAGTGCCTGCCGTCAGAGTCACTGATGGCCGTGTATAGGTTATCCTTCAGCTGCGGTATCTCCCAACTAGAGCTGCAAACATGTTATAGGAAGGTTAGCTACATGCTGAACAACCCTGTCATATTATTGGCGTATAAATAACTGAGTGAACAGTGGGCATGGATATAGCCATACTAGCTGAAAATATACACAACTTGCGGGTCTGTGTTTTCGCTCGGGTCAGCTAAAACTGCGAACAGGTTATAGGAAGAATTATGATGAACTCCAAATCACCCTCTGTCATATTCGTCCCGTATAAATAATTCGTGAGCGGCGGGCATGGGTAGCTATACTGGTTAAAATACACACGACGTGCGGTCTGTTTTCGGTGTCTCCCAGCTAGAACTGCAAACAGGTTATAGGCAGCTGAGATTCATGCCAAATCACCCTCTGTCATATTCGTCCCGTATAAATAATTAAGTGAACGGCGGGCATGGTTTGCTATACTGGCTATAAATACGCGACGTGCGGTCGGTGATTTCGACACAGACTCCGTGTTTATTTTCGGTCGTGTATTCAACAAGCTTTCCCGGTCGGTGGTTTTTTTGCCATGCCGAGTGCCGGTGGTTTTTGTTTACTCGCAAAAACATTTTCACGTGTATCCGCCTTGGCCGATATATAGAGCCGTGTTCGTTTCGCTCCGTGCGGTTGCGGGCTGTAAATTAATATACTCTGTGGTCTTCCACCGCTTGCGGATTAAATGGCCTTGTTTTGAGCCACACTTTTTTTAAATGGCAAAATAGAAAGAAATTGTTCGTTCTTTGTTCTAGGAATTGGGCGTCTCAGGGTTGATTCAATGCTTACGTTCCATATTCTCCGTATGTGTTGGCAAATGTCATCTTTGTACAGGCCTGAACCCAGCCTACGGTCCATACTTCGTCCGCCGGTATTGGCGGAAAACGAACCGTCGCCGAAGCCCTAAAATAGAGCGAAATGTAATGAGCGTTATGCTTTTAGTATAAACATTTAATTGAAGATAAATAAGGAAGAGTTTTCCCCTAGCTTCTTCCCCGCGCGCGCTCACCTGGAATCAAATCTCGCTCATATTTACCTCCGCCAATGGGGTTGGCAGGAGGTGATATTTTCACCGGCGTTTGTTGGTTTGTGGGTTTGTGCGTGTGTTTCTTTGTGTACAGCCTAACTAAAAAAGTTATAGACAGATTGTCATAAAATTTTCAGGATAGGTCAGAAATGGACTAACTTAGAATTTATTCGATTTTGGTCGTGATCCGGATCCAATTAATTAATAAATAAAATTTTCAGGATAGGTCAGAAATGGGGTAACTTAGAATTGATTACATTTTGGTGGTGATCCG